AATGTTTCATTATCTGTGCACGTGCATCACTTCCCATCGATAATCACATGTAAAACTGCTATGACGAAACTCGAACTTCATCGCCAACGTGTGAGAGACTAGTACTCTCCCCCCCTCCTTCTTTTCTCTAACTCTGAAGTTAAAGTACAACTTTACAGTAGTGTTGAATTACAAGCATGTTCAGTGGAGAGCAAATGAACCTTTAACGTTTCTGTAAAGCGTGTTAGAATCATCGTAAGAACTTTCTCAGGGTTGCTAGAAGTCGTTAAAATGCCGAGTGTTCTGCTTAAATTTCCTTCCTTTATTTTCTACATCAACTTGTGTAGCATATACTTTTCTCTTTGTCTTTAAATAAATGTTTCATTCACAAATGCAGCTGCAGAACCTGTTGTGCAAGTAATTCGGACTACTAGTGTTTCATAAGATAGTGCTACACTAATTATTAGTTGTATAATCAGTTGTACAAGTAATTCGGACTACTAGTGTTTCATAAGACAGTGCTACACTAATTATTAGCTGTAGAATCAGTTGTACAAGTAATTCGGACTATTAGTGTTTTACACGATAGTGCTACACTGGAATTTTCTATAATTAAACCTTTGTTATTGATGTTTCCAAGTCAAACGGTAAGAAACTAATTCTGAGCTTTACCATAACTCAAGAACAATATCAGAATCCGTTCTTTATAAACAATGAAGTGAAAAGTGTGATTCGATATTCGATATATCTTGGTTGTATAAAGCAAGAATCTCGTATGCGAGCCCCACCTATCTTAGTTTCAATTCTTCAGGATTTCTACGCGCCAACTATAATAGTTTGAAAACTTTTGTATATATATATATAGTAGTAGATATTTAAAAGTACTTTTTTATCTTTACGTTTCATGCACACATCTGAATTTAGAAATGTTTCCTATGAGGCTGTGTTGAATAACCTTTTCGTATACCATATGTACAGAATTCAACAAGCGTACACACTTTGTTAAACGCACACTGTCTATCATAATTTTATTTTCTTGTTAAACACGTCCAGTTTTTAAAACTTTATTTCTTCCTGGCTAAGATACGTTAATGTTAACTTCGATATAGTATTGTCTCTTTTTGTTCTTAGAGATGAGTTAACAAATTTGTTACGAGTTTTTTATAACTAGTAGTGTGAGTTCCGCTTCTGATAGTTTATTGTCAAACTTTAACGACAACTAATAACAACAATTAACTATTTAAACTAATAGTAAATAGAGAGCGACAGCAATGAAAACAACGAACAACAATAATAAATACAAAAAAGACCAAATATTAAGCAAATAAAAAAAACGTAGACAGATAGATACACATAAAAATGGACAGGAAGATTGTATCAAATTTAACTGTTGTGCTTGACTAAGGACAGGAAGATTGTACCAAACTTAATTATCATATTTGAGTAGGAAAATAAGACTGTACAAAACTTACCTATTGCACTGGACAAAGTGATTGCAAAACTAGACTTAACTATTGTGCTTGACTCAGTGATTCCACAACTAAACTATTATTTGACTGAGTGATTGCAGAACTAAACTTAACTATTGTGCTTGAATGAGTGATTGTACAAAAGTATATTGAAATAAACACGCCATCCTTAAATGTGATATAAATTATCATTTTGTTGTGTGTGGTAATAAAAGAATAATCTTGGAAACAGACACCAGAGTCCGGTTACCAAACAACTTTGCATTGTTCTAATATCGGGAACAGAAACTCAGGACCGGCTAAAAAAATATTGAGTTTTTTTGTGTTTGTTTGTTTGAAGTTAAGAACAAAGCTGAACAAAGGGCTAACTGCGCTCTGCCCACCACGGGTATCGAAATCCGGTTTCTAGCGTTGTAAGTCCGCAGATATGCCTCTGTGCCACTGGGAGGCATGCATTGTTGTAATCTCAGGAACTGATACTCAGGACCGATTACAAAAACACTTTTCGTTGTTCTTATCTCAGGAACTGACACCTGGGGCCAATTTAAAAACGGCTTTTTGGTTATCTACAATTTAGGAACTGACACCATAGGCTTGTTAAAACTTGATGCTTAGTTTCAATTATATAAAGTTGCGTTAAAACTTGATGCTCAGTTTCAATTAATAGATAATAAGCCTTATTGAAATCATGTAGTTTTCGAAGAGGTATCGCAGAACCTACCTTTATTAATCTGTGAGATATTTATATTTTGCAATAATTGATCCGCATTAGAATATCGAAGTTTATTTACTGAAGTTAAACGTTAGTGGCCCATTAGCTACATTGTACCGTAAGTAACAGTTGAACGTTCATAATTAGAATTTCCCTGGATACTACACCAGGAGTGTGTTGTGAAACTGACGTCTCAGATCTCTCTACATCAGGAGTGTGTGTGAAACTGACGTCTTAGATCTATCTACACCAGGAGTGTGTGTGAAACTGACGTCTTAGATCTATCTACACCAGGAGTGTGTTGTGAAACTGACGTCTCTGATCTATCTACACCAGGAGTGTGTTGTGAAACTGACGTCTTAGATCTATCTACACCA